AACCCCCTTCTCAAACATTTGGTATTTCTCTTAAAAAACTATAAATTTCTGTTTAATTGAAAAGAGCACCAAAATATAGTTGCCAAACTGAAGAGGGATACAACCTTTGGCTAAGAGTGCAGTGGGCTGGGAGCCAGATTTCCATAAGTTCAATTCTTCCCTCTTCCATGAACTGTTTTTAATGAACCTACATGTTCTTCATAGTTCTTAGTAAGTGAGGCTTCATGTTTCTAGCTCAAAAAGGCAGGTATTATTTTCCTCCATTTTGCAGATAAAACAATTGAGGTCATGAGACGTTGAAAAAGGTCTCCTGTCTCCACCTGTGACAGAACTCAGGATAGAATTAATTTGCAACCAAGGTAGACCAAGTTTTATCTATTTAACCACACTGTATCTCAGACAATTTAGGCTTTGGTCTCTGTAAAATGGGACTATACTGCATACATGTATGTACAAACTGTCAGGTGCACAGGTGAATAGTATTGCCTCTAATCACTCACTCATATTGTTTATCTACAGAATGGTCTTAAAGCATTGGATTGGAATCCAGGAAATTAATTCTACTTTTACTTCTGCCACATATAAAGAGTATGGTGCTGAGCAAGTCAGTTAAATCAAAGTATTCAACAGTGTCTCTTTCACATTATACACTTTATTTTTTTATTTGGACTAATTTGAAATTATTAAATAGTATTTGTTTTTCAAACTAATATTAAGACAAGGAAAATGAATCCTAATGTACACAATAATCAGTATTTGGACTGTTAGCATAAGAATGCATTATGAAATAAAATTCCTCTGCTATTTTGTTCTGCACTCCATTTTTTAGGTTCTTTGCATATGTTCCATACTTGAGAGGCTGATCTTTTTTACTAGGATTAGCTTTCTTCATTTTCTTGGACATTATTCAAAAGTTGTTGGTATGCAATAATAAAATAAAATATTGATATAACTTTTTATACATTTCTCCCTGCCTCCTTCAGTATTTCTTTCCTGTAATTACGCACACATGCATGCACAGTATTGCTGAGGGGAATATACATCAGACATATACACACAGGGCATGTCTACACATTCATTAATATGCCATCATTACAGAGCATTAAGTCTAGTACCTGTAATGACAAGTACTAATTTAATGTGCTGTAATCAGTGCAACTGCGCATTAGCACAAATGAATGGTCTTTTTGTGACATTAATGCACAATAGACTAAATCTACTGCACATTAGCATGGGTTTTGCCTGCCATACTAATGCACAGTAGAATTAGTCTACTGTGCTCAAAGTGTCTTGTGTAGATGCACCCACAAAGTATTATTGAGGGGAATATAAACATGCATGTTGTCTTTTGCACTTAACCTTTCCAAATGCCTTTTAAAAAATCAAGGAAATTCAACAATAAAGAACTTTATTTTTAAAAGTTAGGACCCCTTAGCAACATACAGAAGTTGCTTTTTTCACCATTTAAAGTATTTTATTGCCGTGACTTAAACAGAAGTGCATTGCATTACAGGACTTTAAAAATGGGTACATTTTAAATTACTTTAAAATTTAAATTAATCTTTGTTCAATGAGGCATTAAATTTGAAGTGCTGTATTTTGTAGCACTTTAGCAACCTATAGCACTTTAAATAATTTCTGTACGCTGTTCAAATTTCTGACCAGTGGAGGCTGTGAAGCACCCCTCGCCTCCTAGCTTGGAAAGTGCAGGGAAGCTCAGAGTCCTCCCTGTCTCTTCGCCTGCCCACCAAACACTGCATGCCTGTCATGTTTAAAAGCACTGTAACTTTATAGCTCTATAAAAAGTGGTTTAAATTACAGCCCTGTAAAGCATGCATAGAACACTTCTGTATGTGCCTCCATGCAATCCCCTAAAAAGCAGAGATGTCCAGCTGAAGTATTCTTTAACTCACACAGTTTTCATCTTCACTGATGGATTCCATGTCTCTCAAAAAATATACTAAATCTCTCATGTGTACAGTAACATTATAGACAAACCACATTTGTCACGGTTGTACTGTAATGTAAAACTTTATTTAACTTAGTATTTCCCCCATGGAAAATAGCACTCGATGCACTTTGTCTGTGAACAAGTGTCTATAGACAGATATGCTAGTATTGCTGAGAACAGCAGGCTGTATGACACAACTTATATAGTGATCTCAGTTGTTATACTTAATATAAGTCATGACACTTTAGAGAGGTGATTGATTTACCATTCTTTTTAAATTAAAAACAGTTCTCTTCTTACTAAAAAGAAATTCAACAATCATCATGGAGACTGTATCTTTTTTTTCTATGAGGATCTGGAAGGTTTTGGTTTAACATTTTTGGACCCTTTATAAACAATTCAAAAGGGTGCTATGCAAAAAGTGTCCTCTCCGAGTATTTTTGAGATATACTGCATTTAACATTTTCATATTCATGTATATACAAATAAATCTAATCTTGGTTGCATGCAAGACTTGTTTTCGAAATACAAAAATTTTACCAATTTTGGTTATGAATTAGCAATGTGTATTACTAAACTAATACCTCATTTACAAAAGCACTATTTCTTGATTTCCTACTGAATAAGATAAAATTTAATAAGATAAACATCTGTCACATCTTCTGACAATTGATAGCAGCATCAGAATCACTAAGTGACTTAGGTGACAAGCTATACTGACATGTTGGGTTTTTATTGCAGTCCTCGGTGCATAAAGATCTCATATTAAGTGATATTTAACGAAGACTCATTCTGTTTGTCAGTTCCATGACATGATCTGTGTGAATAAAGGAATAATGTCCTTGTGTCAGCTGAAGATGAGAAAATTGCAGCAGATATTACCTGTCTTAATAGCACTGAACTAGTCTGTGGAGTTGTAGAAAAATAAAATTGCTTGCTTTATCATCATGCTGCCAGATGGGGCTTAGGCAACTTTATGTAGAAATTCACGCACTGTTACTCAGTAACTGATGGGTGATGTTAGGGAAAAAATCACTTATGAGGATTTACTACATTTGTTCCCTCAGATCAAATGAATTTCTCTAGTTCGTGTAAGATGTTATTAGTGTCATGTTTAACTACTGTGACTTTACAACCATGCAACAGCAAACAGCAAATTACTTAAGAAAAATCACTATGAAGACATCATTGTGGCCTGGAAATTCATAAATTTGCTTCAGTAAAGTACAATAATATTCTCCAGACATACAAAAGGCTTCTTCAGGTACAGATTGACATTGTGCACTCTGTTGCAGTTTAAGCTTGTGAAAAATACGCTCCTTATTTGTTACATATGTGCTTAAACATTCATAGATTCATAGATGTTAGGGTCAGAAGGGACCTCAATAGATCATCGAGTCCGACCCCCTGCATAGGCAGGAAAGAGTTGCTTTCTGCTAGCTTGTGGCCATTATTTCTTGTAACCCCTGGGGGTGCCTTGGTGAATAAATACTCGCCTATTCCCTTCTGTGCCGCCGTGATGAACTTATAGGCAGCCACAAGGTCGCCTCTCAACCTTCTCTTGCGGAGGCTGAAAAGGTCCAGTTTCATTAGTCTCTCCTCGTAGGGCTTGGCCTGCAAGCCCTTAACCATATGAGTGGCCCTTCTCTGGACCCTCTCCAGGTTATCCGCATCCCTCTTGAAGTGCGGTGCCCAGAATTGCATGCAGTACTCCAACTGCGGTCTGACCAGCGCCCGATAGAGGGGAAGTATCACCTCTTTGGATCTATTTGTCATGCATCTGCTGATGCACGATAAAGTGCCATTAGCTTTTCTTATGGCTTCGTCACACTGCCGACTCATGTTCATCTTGGAGTCCACTAGGACTCCGAGATCCCTTTCCGCTTCCGTGCCACCCAGCAGGTCATTTCCTAGGCAGTAGGTATGCTGGACATTTTTCCTCCCTAGGTGCAGCACTTTGCATTTCTCCTTGTTGAATTGCATTCTGTTGTTTTCTGCCCACTTGTCCAACCTATCCAGGTCTGCTTGCAGCTGTTCCCTGCCCTCCGGTGTGTCCACTTCTCCCCACAGTTTTGTGTCATCCGCAAACTTGGACAGAGTACACTTCACTCCCTCATCCAAGTCGCTGATGAAGACATTAAAGAGTATCGGTCCAAGGACCGAGCCCTGCGGGACCCCACTGCCCACACCCTTCCAGGTCGAAACCGACCCATCCACCACGACTCTCTGGTGGACATTAGAAGAAGACAATGTCAATAATAATAATAACCATTTCATAATAGTGTCTTTTATCTCAAAATGTTTTGTAAAGATCAACTAATTAAGTTTCCCAGAGCCTAGAAGAATGTAGCAATGGCTCAGAACCCTAACCCTTACATAAAATTAGGTAAGTAGTTTGGTTGAATTTGAAGAAGTAGGGAACCAAGCTATGGCCTGGATTCTGGAGTGTTTCTTCAACCATGGGGTTGTGAATCACAACCTTCAGATCTAAATTTGTCTTTCTCAGTCTGTTCTAGGATTTTAGTACTGGTTAAGAGTTCTGGTCAGAATTAATATCTGTAACTTATAGATGAGGGAAAACTTGAGGCATAGAGAAATGTTAAAGTGATTTACTTATACTATAGTCACATAGCAAATCAGTGGCAGAACCAGCAAAACAAGCCATATCTTCCTCACATTTTTTTACTTCATGCTTCTAGAAAGTGTTCAAAGCTAAGCTCTTTTATATTTGATTTTTCCTTTACATTTGATATATGTGGGCCATAGTAGTGAAAGCAGTCACAAAAAATTGCACAGTGTAAGTTACTGATCAAAAGGCTTTATTATTTTCCTAAATATTGCTTTACCACACCATTTTGGTGACTAGCAGCACTTTGCCAGTGTTTTATTTTACTATGTTTTTATGTACTCCAAATTGCCTCATCTCTTCACATTGTAGTTAAATGTCTGGTAGTAAAATGTAATGATAGGAAACTATAACTGGACTGAAAGCTTTATTTCTTGCTATATTTTTTTACTTTTTATTAATTTTGAAGGATTTTTTTTCTAGAAAAGTTTTGAAGGAAATCTCTGTTGGAGATCTCAAGCCAAATGAGACAGTTGAAGCAAATCTAGAAGCACAGCTACTCTCCAAGCTAGATCATCCGGGCATTGTCAAGTTTTACGCAAGCTTTGTGGAGCGAGAAAGTTTCTGCATCATCACTGAATACTGTGAGGTGAGACCTCTTTTAGAATATTTTGAAAATATTATAGGTTGTGTGTCTGAAAAATAATTTTTTAACAGAAACCTTTTAAAGTTGTAATTTACCAAGTTAATTCTTGATAAAAAAATGCTAATTTTTAAATTTGCAATATTATCTACTATTTACTAGGCAGATTTCAAGCACTTAACACAGATGGTCTCTTCTCTGAGGAAGTCATAGACTAAGGAATGTCAGGTGAAAGGGAATAACAATATATAATGTAAAAACAAGTCAGTTTGGGTAGAGCTAGGCAGTACGGTAGAACTGAGTCTTTAAAATAGATTTGAATAGACACAAGTGGCATACGAGTTTAGATGAGTTCAGGAAGGTTGAATTATACATAGCATAAAGGAAGAAGGCATGAAGGCCTAGCAAAAGCTAGATGAGGCTGAAATACAAAGAATATGGGCGACTAGTGCCTCCTGGCTCTGGGAGGGCACCAGCTGCCAATTGCTGACAGGAGAGAGGGGTCCCTCATCAACCGATCACTGGCAGAAGTGCCGGCATAAAATTGGAAGTGCTGCCGGCACTTCTCGGTGGGGGGAAGAGGGGGCACCAGCCGGTGCGCTCCACTCCCCGGCCGGTGAGGGCCAAATTTAAGGGGAGGCATGTGCCCCCCTATGCATCGCCTGTGACAGAGAATATGGGAACAATACAAAGCTTGACAAGAGAGGATAAGTAAGGAAGAAAGGAAGAGGTGGCATGACCTTTGAAATTAGTTATAGGAAGCTTGAAACTGATCTTGGATAGGAAACCAATGTGGGAATACAAGGAGAAGATGATGGGCAAGGGCGATGAGGTTAACAATCTCATGCACAATTTTGCATAGGCTGAAGTTGGGAAATGTTTGTGTTTGGGAGGTCGGAGTAGAGAGAAGGCTGGAATAGTCAAGGTTATGTTACTGTGTTTCTTAAATCTCAGATTTGGTCTATGGCAAGTTAAAAGACATTGATGAAATATATTGCAAAGACTAAAAATGACATTAGTAAAAAAAAAGACAAGGCTTTTGAATCATCTTTTAAAAGTATCTAAACTTTTAATTATGTTAAATATAGGTGTGCAATTTTATTGCTTTAAAAATGGAATAACCGTTTTATTACATTAAAAATGTATGCTAAGTTGTGCATATACACTGGACATTATATTTGGCTTTGTTTGTTGGCTAAAGGTCTTTGGTTTCTACTAAACTCAAAGCATGCCACTAGTTTGGCTATATATATCTGTAGCTGAGTTGTCTTTACCAGCCTGGTTAATCACATTGCTGCAAGCACAGATTTGGTGCTAAAAGTTAAAGAAATAAAACTAGCCAATAATACAGTATTTCATAAATGTATTCTACATAGACAATTCAGGATATGTTTGTCTTTCAAATGTTGCAAGAGTTGAGCTGAAAGCCTAGATTTTTCCTTGAACTAGAGCAATGTTTTTTTTGCCCAGTACAAAATGTTCTGAAAGCTAGATGAACTGTGGTGCGAGCAAGCATTTGCTATACCTGATCTAGGTTTAGATGGCTTACTTAAAGTGGTGGACATGGGGCTCGCAGGTCTGTGGGGAATATTGGTGGGTCCACAGCGGGTTTACCCGGTCAGGAGAGATTGGAGGACTAATATTAGCCTGTCAGGGTCAGGGGGTAGGAACAGCACAGTGTTGGAGCTGGGCAAGTGGCTGAGCTTTTCAAGACCTGGGGCTGTGCTTCAAATGCATGCAAGCATTCATTAAATTAGGTTAACCCTTTCATAGATCGGGTTAAACCTTTCTAGATCTACGCTAGATCACCTCAGGAAGTGAACTAACTTAGTTTGGGTGTGACATTTTTTGGCCAATTTAAACCCTGTGAACATCTGTACAAGTTTAGATTTAGATTTACCTAACCCTACTTAGGTCAGTCTAAATGTAACTCTTGTACATTACCCTGGTCACAAACCCATTACACCAAAATAAGAGATTCATCTTTCTCCATGAAAGTAGAGGCTGAATAATGACTTCTATCCTTGCCCCTTCAGGTGGTATGAAGAGAGTTGCTAAGGAAAAAAGGCATGCCAGCAATTTCCCTGCACCCTGGCAATCACAAGCTGCTGTAATGGCCCAATGGAGGCATTTTTAAGTGACAGCCAGGGAAATAACCTAATACAGGATCCTGGGAGCACAAAGATAGTTTAATGCTGATTTCACATAGAGATATATTAGCACAAGGCAAATAGAGCAAGAGAAAATAGACTCCCTGAATATACAACTGGATTCTGTCAATCCCAAGCTTAATAAATCAGGTCAGCATGACAGAGAGACCAGTGGAATATGTTTCTAGCCTTTTTTCAAAGTAGAGAAAATATAGGACAACTGCTAATGCAGAAATAAAAAACCAGCAAGCGATCTTAATACTTTGTGTCAACAATTTTCAAGTGAAACTCTTCGCTTGAATATTTTCCCAAAGAACTCAGAAAGGCATTTCCGTGCAGAACTGTAAAAGATTCACTTTTAATTAAGAGTGACCACTGCCAGAAAATGTTCTTCTGTATTTGCGTAGGTGGGTACTCTATTTTTATATATAATAGGATTCAGATCCTTTTACCTAAAAGCTGCCTGGCTTGAATTCTGAGTTGACAAAAAGGAAAATGCGTTGCTATATGGATGTTTGGAAACCTATTATATTGTGTGTCCTGTTTTTTATGTATAGAACTACTAACACAATTGGCAGTAAATGGTACTTTTCTAGGAATGCTCAAAAGAAAGAACTGGCATTGAGTTGGAATGGAAACTAAACTGCCTCTCACCCCTCATTCTGTTCTCTCCACACTATTGTAGCTTTGAACCACATAGCTGGAACAGGTTAGGGCCAAACCTCCAATGCACCTGCCCATTGCTGCACCTGTTTGTGAATAGTAGAGGACATTCATTTCCATTGTTCAGCCTGGCTCTTTTGGCATTGTCAAATTCACTCGGAAGTATTGAACAGAGTCTGTGTGTTCTAGTTTGATTTGATTGTTAGGCTTTCTTAGCAGTTGTCTCATTTTAAATATTTTAAGGCAGTAAAAACATTGTCTTGTGAAAATGATGTCAAGCAAAATTGCTTTGAAGAATCTTATAGCCTGAAATTTGGCTTCAGTGAAATATAGATTTTAAAAACAGAGAGATATTAGTTTTACTAACAGTTTAAAAAAACCCATAAGCATAGTTATCTAAATTCTCAAACCCTTTTCTCATTTCTGTGCTTTTAGTGCAGGTTCCAATTTCAGTTGGATAGGAAGTATGCATATGTTAAAGGGAAACTGAGGAAAATTAGCAACTAAGTCATGAAGCCTGTTCACATTCATTAAAAAAGCTAAAAATTCAAATCCTATTTCAAATGTATTACCATACTTGATGCTCCTTTTAAATGCAAATCATAACTTGTCCCCTACCATATGCTTCACTTCATTACCTTGCTTCCTGAATACTGACATTCCAAAACACAAAACAAAAGAATATACTTCGTCAGGGTTTTATGTTGTGTTATGTTCAAGAATATTTCTCTCGAGAAAATCTTTATAAGGAACTTTATAAAGTCCTTCAAAAATCTACATAGGCACACTGTATTTTAACTAAGTTCAGATATTTGGATGTCTTTACTTTTTGTTTCTCCTCTTCTCCTTTTTGGCTTATGTGGTAAAGATGACTATGTCAAATTAGTTCACTCCTGTTTCTATATTAGGCCCAACAATGCTCCAAATTTAATACATATAATAACATATTTTACACTTGTGTTTACAGGGTCCAAAAATTATAACTCTGCTCTCTGCTTATATGAAAGACAGAATCTTAAAGAAGGAGGCAATATGATAATTAAATTCTACCTCTTTGTTTTAAAGAGGTAGACTATCTTACAGAATAATGAATAAGAGTTTGTTTACATTTTGAATTCATGTAGTCCTATAGGCTCCCAGGTTGATAGCAATATGTTTTAATTTTAGTTTACAAACTAAATACACAAGGCCCCCTCTACACCTTATAGAGGTGCAGTTAACAGGTTAATTGTACAGTTACCTGGAGACCAGCTACACATGCAAAGTAGCTGTCACACAATAAAAAGCCTCCAATCAGCTATAAAGTTACACTTAAAAATGTGTACTATGTAACTGGTTGCTATCAAGTTTTAATTTGCATGTGTAGCAGGGGCTCCCCTGTGGCTGGGAGCCCTATCAGCTAACATGGCTCCCAACCCCAGGGATTTATTGTGCACATTGTAAAACCCTCAGGCTCTGGGGATCAATTAAGCCGTGATCCCCAGGGCTCAGGGGGGCATGAAACCCTGGGGGCCAAAGGATCACCATACAGGTAATCCCCCATCCTAGGGGTGCATGGGGCCTGTGACTGGGAGCCCCTCAACTAGGATGTGTGGGGCTCCTAGTTGCAGAAGCTTGCTTCTTGCTGGTGCAGGGGGAGCCCACTCCTGGGCATGGCTTCTTGCTGGTGTAAGGGGAGCCCAATCTTGGGCATGGCAGGAAGTGCCATTGTGGATCACTCATTGGATCTCTTCATACCTTATTGCCGGTGCAGGGGGAGCCCAATCTTGGGCTCCCCCTGCACCGGCAGTGAGGTGCAATGGGATCTAATATGTTACCCCACAATGGCACTTCCTGCCATGCACAGATGGCATGGCAGGAGGTATGATTTTGTGAATTGCACGTTAAGATCCCTTCGTCCCTTTACCTGCATGTGGAGAGGGGATTTAAGACAGACAAATTATAAGTGGGGAAACAAAGGTATAGAGTGGTGAAATGTTTTGCCCAAGATCCAGATCACTATTGTTCAGATCACTGATTTTCCATACTATTATTTTAGGTTCTGTTGAATGAAAAATGACTGACTTGTCCAACCCATTCAGGCAGCCTGCCTAAATTCTTATCCTCAGTTCTTGTGCCTCAAAATACATGCACTTTAATTAATGTTACAGACTACATGGCTTGTGTCTGTAGATCTAAGATAAAAATGAAGTCCTATATTTTGACATAAGACGAAATATGTAAAATCCTTATATTGAACATGTGAATGTGCTCTGACGTTTCAGGGTCGAGATCTGGACTGTAAAATTCAAGAGTACAAAGAAATTGGGAAAATATTCACCGAATGCCAAATAGTAGAATGGTTTATACAGTTGTTACTTGGAGTCAACTACATGCATGAAAGGTACAATCATTTACTTTCATATGAAAGCACTTAGGTTTCATATGACTGAGAAGACTTCTATTTTCTAATTAAAGATATTAAAATGGAAATTAAACCCTGCTGTTTATTTTGTTTCTTTGACATAAAACCTTGTACAGCTATCTTGAGTTACTACTGAATGTCTAAAGTAGTGACTGAGTATCTAGTGCATGAACATTGTCTTTTTGAAGGTCCCACCCTTTAATACCACCCTACACATTTACTGTATCTTACAGTAGAATTATAATGGACATCTTTTAGAATTAAGCACCAAAGGCAGACCTTAGTTTTCTAAAATCCAGGTGACAGCATTGAAAATGCACAGTACAATACAAACAGTTAAATCCTGAGATTAAAGCAGACATTCAGTCATATTAGAGAAAGAAAACGTAATAGAACTCTTTCAGATATTAAATATAAAGAGTCAAATTTTATCATGGCATAATTCCATTGAAATCAATTAAATTACATCAGGGATAAATCTGGCCTGGTAATCTTTGTTCTGGACTTGTTTTTAAAACACCCTGTTACTTTCATCACCATATCGGAGACATCACATCAAATTTGCAGGTAAGTCAGGAAATCATGTTGAGAATCTCTAAGTGATAGGTTTATTTTCATAACTGAAGATGTAAGATCCATGCCATCAGAAAAAGGGAAATAGTCATTCTACGATGCCTTTCACAGGGCTTATTTTAAAGCTTTTTACAAGGTCCATTAGTTCTTTTTATTATATGTGGAAAAAGAAATAAGAGTTCTTCTACAAGCATAATAGTCTTATCTAGGTTGGAGAAAAATGGCAATCTCTCTTTGCTCTCCCTAACACATTTATAATATGCCACATATCTGCACACAATTGCTCCCACCAGTATGAAGACAACTGAAGTGCTGTTTAAATTGGACTTGCTTTAAGCATGTCTAGCCACCTTGTGATCTTCCATCCATGCAATGTCTGCTAATGCAGTTTCTGTTTTTGGTTAATTAACGTTTGACAAGTGGTCCTCCCACAGCTGGAGCATTGAATCCCGCTTACAATAATTTGTCTTGTCCACTTTCCACATTACTCTTGAGAGGGGGTCAAGTTTGACTTAAGACAACTCAATTTACCTAAAGTTAGTCATGAGCTAACATTTTACTTAATCATGATCAGAGTGCTCAGCACTTTTTGGATCTGAAACCTAAAAGAGCGGTGGGGGGAAGGGAATGAAAGGCTTTTTTGCTTTTTTTCCAGAATTCTAGAGCAATGAGCAGTTAGCTGAGCTTTCAGTACCTTTCAGGCCTTGCAAGTGTTAAAGTAAAGGAGCATGGCAGGAAGCATGATTGTGGGCTCCCTCATCAGATTACATTGCACCATACTGCCAGTGCCTGATCCTGAACTCCCCCCTACTCTGACAAGTAGCAGGCTTGGCTCCCAGCCACAGGAGCACACCATACACTCATCTGGCAGGGTGTTCTGTCAGCTGATAGGGGCTTCCAGCTGGGTGTGCTCCCTAGGCTGGAAGCCTGATCAACTCACGAGGCTCCCTGCTGCAAGAGCGTGTGGTACACTCTCCTGGCTGGAAGCCTGATCATCAGACCAGTACTCCCAGCTCAGGGAATGCATGGTGTGCTCCCCCAGCTGGAAGTTGTGATCAGCTGACCAGGGCTAAACTCCTAGTCAGCTGACTGGGGCCTCAGCGGTGGTAGCCCCAATCAGCTGAAGAGCCTCCCAGCCTGTGAAATACATGGGAGTCTTGACAGACTGGGCATTGGACACATGTTCAGTTAATGAGATGATAAAAACTAGCCACAAAGTTATTACACATATTTTGTGTAATAGCTTTGTGCCTTATTCCTTATTTTATCACTCCATTAATTGATTGACTGTGTGGCCAGGACACTACTAAAGATGTGATTAACCAGTTAAAATGTCTTAAGTATAATGTCTGTCAGGGGCTTTCTCTTCCCTTTCTCCCTGTTTGTAGCTGTTGGCAACAGTTGGCTGTTGGCTTGTTATAGACTGCTGTATAGAAAATGTCTATATTTATGTTTAAATTCCCAGAATATTTCTTCCTGCAATGTCCAGCAATTTGGACCAGTATCCATGCTGGTCTTTTTAAGGATAAGAATTCCCTTTTTGCAGGGACGGTGCTGCTTTTCAGTTTACCAAAACATTGCTTTCCTGCTATCTGTCTTAGTTAGTAAGTGAAGGGGATTGAAATGAAAAATATACGTCTCATTTAAATAGTATATAATAAGGATAGACTTTATAGGACAGGGGTGTGGCTATCATGAATTGAAGTTTCAAGATACCGAGAAAATGCATTTTCCATGATCTATGATGTTTCTTAAATACTTGAAAAATAACTTAAAACTGGTTGATGGCTTACTGGCTTTTTGTCCCTCTTTCTCTCTGTATTCTTGTGTCTCTGTGTAAGATGTATATAATATAGATAATCTTACATTGTTATCATGTTGTATATACAGAGAAAGAATGATTAGATGTATTGCCTTTGAAGGAGTAAACGTTCCTTGAGATTGAGTTCTCAGAGCTTTTTTATTTTCACTTTTTCTATTCTGTGGTATCTCAGGATGATTATCTTTCTGCCAGAGCACACAACATAGCTCCCTATGAACAGTCAGATGGGGAAAAAGCAACACATTTTGTTCTCTTCCACAAGGGACCGAATAGGTTGCTGCTGCAACTTATCTAATTTTTATGACTATTCTCAAATGGGGTTACCTGCAGGCATTTGTATGCCTGTTTCATGACTGTTCTCAAATTGGCATACCTTCACCCTGATCCTGTGCCTGGGTATGCCCCTAGATTTATGTGGAGCCCAGCTGAAATCACTGGACTTTTGCTCAGATCTCAGGACATGCCTGCAGTCTGTTAGTTGCAAAATTAAAGATCACTGGCCAGCAGTACCAAATTGTTAATGAAAGAACAGTATACATTAATTGAAAATGACTGTTATTTCCTTAGGTAAGATAAAGTTATATTTCCTCTTATGTTTCAGGCGAATACTTCACAGAGATTTAAAAGCCAAAAATATTTTTTTGAAAAATAATCTTCTTAAAATTGGTAAGATACCCCTGCTTTCTTTTTGTATGATTTATAATATAGAATTCCAGCATATATTTTATAAATAAGTCGATTTTTAATTAGTTGTTCACTAATGGTTTCTAATTCAGTTGATTGCTTTTTCTTATTTCATTAAAAAACTATGCTAATACAACTGCCTTTTTTTTTAACCTGGTGATGCTAATTCTTAATGCATAACTATTTAAAAAGAACACAAATCCCAAGACATCATTTTATTTTAAACCTGTTGCAGACTAGAGAAGCATAATATGTGTTTTTACAAAACTGATTCATATAATATGAACAGATCTTTCTCCATGTTTCAAAAATTTTTACAAGATTTTTGTCTTACAGTCTTTTTATTATGCCTACTAATGACAATTCCTTATACATAACTGAAATCTGGATATAATAATTTCATGAATCCCCAGGCTTTTCTAATAGTCACACTTCTAACCCCACTCTCTAATCCTGTTATGCTTTAAATTTATTATTCTTTATATACATTGGTTTTGTTTTTTGCCACTATTCACGTCATTGCACTAGAACTCAGAGGATTTGGACTCTTATTTTTATGCTACATATTTTAATCCTGTTCTCAAGCTGCATAATATTAGCAACAAAATAAAATCTATTTTTGAAATACTATTTTGGTGAAAAATGGCAAATAGACTAATTACCTCCCCTTAAAAGGTCCTTGCTTTACATCTAAAGCTGGGGTGTCCAACCTTTTTGAATGTGGAGCCGGATCATGAACTTTTTATCACTCAGTGTGCTGGTGAGCCATATTCAAAGACCTCACCGGAAGTGGTATCACATCACCCTCCCCACCGGCGCCAAAACGAAAGTACAGTGTTTACTTTCATTTCCCGTTGCAGCACCTCAGGCCTCAGAAAACAGCTTGGAGGGCCTCATGGTGGCCCACGGGCCACATGTTGGACAAGCCTGGTCTAAAGGCACATTTGTTCATGCACTGCATCTGTTTTTTTCCCCATGAAAAAACTCCAGGTGTACTGACTATATTCTGCTTAGTAGGTTTGTGCCAGTCAATACCATGTTGTTAGTTAAATATGTCCATGGTTTTATTCCTACCTGTTTTACGTGAATTTCCTCATCATGAAAGATTCACCACTGTCACTGCAGCCATTTGATCTAAACTTATCTATGATTTTTATAATGCACAGAGAACCAAGGTGTCTAAGTATTAAAAACCCTTGATTTTATAAGGTCTAGGATGCAATGGCATCAGCAGTGCAATATTGTCCCATATTGCCCTAACATTATGCCTTGACGTTGATATTTATAAACTTCCAAAAAGGAGGCTTTTTCAACTCATGGCATATCTTCTGAGAGTATAAGCAAGAGGATAGTTAGCAGCATAATTTTGTGTGAGATGGATGGACGCAAGCACTGGCTTTGTTGAAAACGTTTATCTGCCTTGACAGATAGCAGATGGGGAAATAAGGAATTTCTGGTAATGATTAATTTGGTATGAATTTAAATGGGCAATGTAGGGAATAGAGATGCATAAGTTTTTGGTCCCATTACTATTATCCATGGCTACCCAGTTACTATTTTTATGTTGATTTCAGTAATTTGTTGACAGTTTATTTAAGCTGAGGATCTGGGCTCAAATGTTTTGAGATATTAAAATATAAAATGTGATATTAAAGACAATCAAATTAAGCTGGAAATTTCTGATTTGACTTTTAATTTTAGATATTCTTATCTAAATAAGTAAGATTTCAATTAATTTTTTTCACTTCTATTTTAAGGTGACTTTGGAGTTTCTCGTCTCTTGATGGGTTCATGTGATCTGGCAACTACATTTACCGGAACACCTTACTACATGAGCCCAGAGGCACTGAAACACCAGGGATATAACACAAAATCTGACATCTGGTGAGTGGGCAGCATGTTTTTTCAACTGAATTAGTCATTCATTCAAAATGAACAAATTGATAAAATAACATTGGTTTTCTAGGTCATCATGTGCTTGTATCATGTGCTCTATTTTTTTCCAAACATTTATCTGAATACTAACTAGTCAGAGCCACCTGGGCAGAATGCTTTCACTACATTATTAGAACAGTTCAGGGGTATTTATTTCAGTTCATAGCTATGTTGTAATCTGAGGGTGTTTTTCTTTGTGTGCGCAAGCTATTTGTCATAGGATGAGCCAGACAGATTTTTAGAGGAGAACTGAGGCACGGGCCCCATTGGTTCCTGTTTGTTCTTCCAGATCAAGGGACTTAACATAGAAGGATCATGTGAGGGTGGGACTGGAAGAAGGTCTACTGGGGAAAAGGAAATAGAGTGAAAAATAAGCCCTGTTCCTCAGTTGGAGGAATTGGCATGTTGTTGTAGTTGTGATGATCAAGTTGATGTGTGAGAAGCAAGTTTTTTTTGGTGATGTCTTTTACTGGACCCACTGCGTATGTGGAACAGAGATTAGACAAAGTAGGCTCATTACTATTTACCTGCCCTCTGCTAACCTTTCTGTACTCCACAAGTAATAAACTACCCTTTTTTTTTTCTTCTGAGTGTTTTTTTTTCTTTTACAGAATTATCTGTTTCAACTACTTTTTTACAGCTACTTCTGATAACTGCTTTTTGCTCACAGGTTAACAGTCATCTCCCACTGCTTTAAGTAATCACTTTCATTTACATAATAGGGTACACAAGTCATTGTGTTATCTGGTGTTTATTTCTGCATCTGCTTCTTTCCCAGACCTGAGAAAGGGCACTCTGTGCCCAAAAGCTAACATCTCTTCTGACGATACAGTAGGTCCAATAAAAGATATTACCAAAAATACCTTGCTTCTCACATTAGATCAGTAAAGTAGCACAGCCTTATTTTGTGTGACAGTTTAGAGGGGATCAGTATTGGTTTTAGTATGTCAGGGAACCAGGAAGAGCCTGGTAAGGGCTCAACTGAAGAAGTCTAGAAAGAGCTGGAGAAGGAGATAGTAGGAAGTGGCCCTACAAACCTTAAACAAGGAAATATGGAGTTTATAGCAGACAAACACTTTATAATATAGGATTCCAGTGTTGGCTCCTAGGGGATAGGGAGATTCTGGGCTCTTCTACCTTTGGTGTTACTGAGAGGTAATGGAAAAAGTTCCTGTGACCAAGATTTTTAAAACTTCACTGCATTATGTTAAGGTTTTTGAAGAATCCCCTGAAAGGAAAGGGGAAGACAGGTTTGGGTTTAAAGCTTTTTGTTTTGTTTGGCTGGTATGGTAGGAGTATTGATGTGGCCAAGTCACACTACCATCCAAGAGAAGACTTTCTCCATGGGAAGAAAACTGAGGCACGGAGGAAAAACTGAAGCATTGGCTATGCACTAGCCAGTACAGAAATAAGCAAACCTTCACAAGAAATAGGTTGTAATTTTCCTTAAAATGCTTCCTGTCCTAAAAATGCATACAAATAATTTACTATGTCACATTCTAAAATGACCCAATGCCTTGCCAAAAAATGTTCTGATAGGAGATAATTCTTAAAAATAAGAAAGAAATCCTTTCTGTTTCCCATATAGTATTCTTTAAAAAAAAACTCATTTGTTTGTTTTTTACAAGTACATTTATCTTTTTTTATTATTCCATAAGTTCTGAACATTGCTGTGCAGTTTCATTATTACGTTACTTGGAACCTAAATATTTATTCCATCTTTTACTCTATTTCTCCTTCTCAAAATATACTAGAGACTACTGGGAACAATTTTATATATTGATAACAGTCATCCATGCTTTTAACCAGTAACATTTGCCATTTTTCAGGGGCAATGTATTGTAGTATTCAGCTCAAGTCAACAGGTGAGTTGAGAATCCCATCTCATGCTCCCTATAGCTGAACTGACATAGATTTTATGCCAGATTCTGTACTGCCCATCTGTACTCAATACTAGGAGATGTCGTTGCAATCAATAAAAATGCTATCAAGGATTTCAAAAGATATAGGAATAAGTCATTCAGCAGCCAGAGAAACCCTTTTCAATCCATGACCACAGCTGTTGCTATAAAGAATAATTTATTTTCTTTCAGTGTTAGCATTACATGTAAAGAATCTGGAAAAATTCTGTTCTCAGTTATATGCAGGCAATTCTATTAAGTTATCAGGGGGTTTGCACAAGAGTAAATGAGAGCTGAAAGTGGCCTACTACTATTGTATGTTACGTCTTAGTTATATTTTCTCAATTTAAAAAATAAAGCTCCATAAAATGAATCCAGTGTGAAGACTACCTTTATGTTACATTTTATACTCAATTATTTTATTATATTTTTATAGTCCAATACTTTAAAAACTGCCAGCTCTACAGGATTCTTGGGAGAGACAAACTGCCTTAATTCCAAGCTTTTTGGTCTTCTGAGATAGAGGTACTGAGGACCAAGTGCGCCAGTAATCACTAGCATCTCGGCTAACAAACTTTCAGCCTCGTGAGCCAAGAAGCTCCCTGCGGAAGCTCTAATAAAGGTCCTTTCAACCACTGTTGCTCTATTTCTCCTTTAGTTGGTCTGAATTTCTTCTTTCAACTCAGTCTTTCTGTTTGTCTAATAATAATATGCCTGTTTATTCCTGAACATCTGCTCTTCTTTACACACTTGAGGCTCTGTAGGATCATGGACACTGAACTTGTTTTGCTGGATTCTCCTTTCTTCATTTTGTTTATTTACTCCTTCTTTGCTTCGTTCATTTGGTTCCTGCACATTACATTTTGATTTTCTAATTTTCATTGCTTTATGTGCTTTAAACAACCAGGCTTCAACATGGATACTTGATTTACCTTTCTTTGAGCTTTTCATTGAGACTTTGTGTCAAGACCCTAAAATTTGAGACTGCATCAGATTTTTGTTTTTGTTGCAAATTGATTATTCTAGATCATGTTGTAGTTTCTAACTATCAGTTTAAGCTCCTTTCTCCTTTTGATCCTAGATTCCCTTAAATGTCCACAAAGAATGAAAAAGGAAATGAGTTATAAGAAATGTGGATGGGACTGACACTGACAGGAAAGCACTATGCTGCATCTCTGAATATGCTAACTGTGCTCTTGCTTGCCATGCTGATGAGCTGGTGAAGATACTTAATTCCTCTCATCCTTCTCCAGGCAATCACAGAAAACCATATCTTGCCCCAGAACATGACTGATTTAATTGCCCAGACATTACAGGAGAGTTCAATGGTTGAGATATTTGTGCCTGGGAGGGAACCAATTAAACCCTTGTTTTTAAAAATCAGTGTCCCCTTTATATGTCTGAGTCTGGATAGAAGGCAGATTCTTTCTAAGTTCATTTGGCAGCTATTTTCATCTATCATGAACTAGTAATTAAAGGTAGATCTGTTTTTCTATGCAGCCCCTTGTCATTAAGAGGTTTGACACATTTCTGAGGGCATCCTTCAATTGAAAATCCCCTTTGGTAAAGGGATATTAACACAGTTTGACAAAACTAATGAAAGCTTGTGTTCAGTTGCTTCGTTCATGAAAGTTTAAGTCTGTGATATGGAAACTCATTTCTCTGGGGGTAATAACTTCAACCCGGAGTGAATTAGTATTTGACTTTGTGACTGACCTGCCATATACTTGATTTTAAAAGAACTCCATGGTTTTGTGCACTTCTCCTACGTTCTTTCCAAAAATGTTGGCTAGTTTCTAACTTAATGAACGTCATCCTTATAACTTTCTACCAGTGACTGCTTAGTCTATCATGGGCCTTTTCTACAAACTTGATATTAAAATATCTTTGTATTGGTACAGACTAAAAATGATAAAACCCACCTTAATTTTTGTTTCTTTTGATAACAGACCATTAGGCACTGTTATCCTGTGAAGAATTAGGTCATTGGCTGCCTTTGCCACCCGCAGTCTAAGTGACGTTTGGTAGGCCTACCTGTCCTAGTTTAGGACTCATGCAAGGCAGGCTACATGCATTTGCAAAGTACTGTTGTATAGATTCACCCTTTAAAGAGAAATCCTTGTTTGTCTCTTAGTGCTGCAAAACCTGCTTCTGAAGTAGGGATGCCCAAATTCTCTCATTCTTACTATCTTTTTCTTTAGATTTAAGGCTTTTCATTACACGAATTTTTAAAGACTTTTTTTAATTAAAAAAAGATCAAAAAAGGGTGTTCTACCACATCACTTGATAAATGGATAGAGCAAGGTCAACATAGGAATAATAATCCACAGCTGGCTGAGAAATAGTATCTTCCAAAAGTAAGTGAGATCAAGTACTTTCTATAGCAAAAGTTGACATCTGCTTTGCAAACGAGTTTCTTGATGCTACTTTAAAACAGTACCAGCAATCCTACATGATATGCTATAAACAAGTAAGGCTTATAATCATGTTTAACAAAAGCAGCACTTCGGTCAAGCCAAATTAAAACACTCAAGCTGCTGGCATCATACTACATTAAAAAATCATTAACAATCCCAAGAGCCTCAGATCTAGATTTCATTAGGTTAGAGCTCAGAGACTTCTCTAGTCAATGGTTATTTTTCAATTAATTATGACCCAAATGACAAACTAACACCCATACTAGTGTCTTGATCAAAAATAGAAAATATAATATAGTTCAGGGGTTGTCAATTGCAGGTACGCCTACCCTTGGAGTACTTGGGAAGGTCCCAGGGGGTATGCAGCAGCAGCGCAGAGAAGCAGGGGTACTTGGGAAGCATGCCTGCTTGCTGCCCCTACTGAGCATCGCCTCCATACCCACCAGGAAGAGTACCCACCAGAAGGGGCACTCTCAAAAAAGGTTGAAAACCCCTGATATAGCTTTTCAGTTATATAGACCAATTAGTGTAGGTTTCTTGGATGTTTTGAATGCAGTTATTTTTAAACATTGTGAACAACCTTGAAGTATTGAGTACTATAGTTACAGTTTACTGCAATAGCAGCCTGACA